TTCAGTTTGTTAATTACTTTAAGCACATCGTTACTAGTAATATTGATATTCATCAACATATTTTCTATACTGTCGTTATATACCTTATGAACTTCTGGAAACTGTGCTAGGTTTTCATTTGTGAATACGGAGCGAAAATGACTATTTAACGTACTACACATTTCTAACTCATCATCAGTCATTTCTCCTGTCGTAGTTTTAAGGGGACCTATTGTATCTCTAACCTTTGATTTATACAGTTGATAAAAAGCTTTGGGGTTATTTTTCGATTCATTTGCTACCTTGATTTCATAATTTCTCTTTGCTTTCCTAATTTCTGTTTTTACCTGTCTTGTTAGGTTCTGATAGTAACCAAGTAAGTGATTTTCGCCTTTCTTAACTTTTCTATATACTCCTTTCTTTTTCCCTAGAAGATCTAAGAGTCTATTATTCATCCATTTTGGTTGGTTCCGTATCGATCTGAATTTTCTTTTAGGGATGTGTTTATTTTGAGCATTATGGATTGTCGCAATAAATTGTTCATAAGTAGCTGCTAAATTAAATTCGGGGTTCTCCCGTCCTAAGTTGACAGTTTCCGGAGGTGTGGGGGGGATTAATCTTTTGACCATAGGGTCATCCCTTAGGTCTCTCCTTAAGCTACCGTAATTAGCCTTCCTAAAATCCGGGATCAAGGCCGAATTTTCCTTCTTCCTGCCATTCCATATTATGTTAAAATATATGGATTTATGATCACTGTTTCCTAGTTCGTCTCCAATCCCAACATCTTTTACTAGATTTTCATTATTACTGAGAACTAAATCGAGGATATTATTTCCTCTAGTGGGCGAGTTTATGAATTGATATAAAAAACTATCTTGTACTACTTCTAGAAAATCTTCAGATTCATTATCGCTAAGTTGATTTTTCCAATCTAAGCCTGAAAAGTTGAAATCGCCTAGAATACATACATTGTTTCTATCAGATGCCTTCTTTATTTCCTCCCATAGCAATTTACCATCGTTCCTACTCAAATTAGGTGATCTATATATAACACCAATGACTATGGACTCATTGCCCTCACCAATCTCTACCCAAATACTTTCATTGTCGCTATTTGTTTTAATGTTTGATTTGTTGCAGCTTTTTAATGACACCCTGATATACACTGCCACACCGCCCCCTCTCCTTCCTACTCTGTCAAATTTAAATAGGTTATATCCTGGAATATGAAATTCTGCTAAAAAATGTTTGCTGTTTGAATTTATCCATGTTTCCGTTATTGCAATTATATCTATGTTCTCTTTACTAACAATGGCTCTGAGCCGGTCCATTTTCTTACACAAGCTTCTACTATTAGTATAATAAACACTCAATATATTTCTTCCGTTTCTATCTGCTTTACATTTATTACTTTGATGTTTGTTATTATGACTAACTATATTTTCAGCATTATCTACTTCTGTTTCACTGTTGTTTTTTTCACATGGTATTTTCCTCTCTTTACCATTGATGGGATTTGGACATATTAAAACCCCACCTTTACTACCCTGTCAACTATCTTCGCTAGCACCGCCATCCCCTTCCTACTTAAATGCACCCCATCCCTTGCATACATACTATCATTACCATAGTACAGGCTCCAATTATCAATGAATGGCGTCGACAGCTCTTTACACTGTTCTTCCAACCAGCAATTGAAACCGATTGCACGGGACATCCATTCACGACTGGCACCACGTCTAGGTAGGATAGAGCAAGCAATAGGAGTTCCACCCTTCACCCTAATCTTATCTAGAGCTTCCCTATACAGCTTACGCAGTTCGACACTGGTAAGCTTACCTACGTCATTGCCTCCTGCACTGAGTAAGACTATGGGGTTGTCTCCACAGTCATCAATGACGTTCTCCACTCTCTCCAGTACTCTACCTATCCCTGCCCCGGGGAGACACTCGAGCTTCCTAACTTTAGTGCAGAGATTGTTACCTAAATACTTCACCATCGAGTCTCCCATGACAGAAACACATTTGACCTTACCTGAGTGTGGTGATTTCTTACCTGCGCTACTCCCTCTCTCCACACTAACAGAGGGAGTAGCACTCGTGGTGTTACTAGCACCTTCCTCACACTCGTCACTTAAGGTGCTATACCTGTTGTTTAGGTCTACAGCTGAGTGCCTTTTTAGAGTGCATTTTGTAGCACTAGCAGCAACTACCTTCCATGAATCCACTTCAACTTCACCGTCCTTCACGACACTGGCAAGGGCTTTCTTCTCCTCTAAAACTAGCTTCAAGGCTAAGTTTTCGCCCTTGAGACTCTGGACCTCCTTCTCAACCTTCTCCAGTCGGTCTTGCAAGGCAAGACAAAGCTGGAGAACGTGAGAGGTGGTCGAGTACTCGTCAGCAGCTGCCATGTCACTATATCACTCACTAACACTGACAGGAACACAGGTCCGCACAGGCTGAGGGTCAGAGGATAAGATAAATCTTGATAAAATCACACGGGAAAAGGGAAACAACGGAGCACCTTAGCTTTCGTCTTTATTCAAGACATCTTCAGAGGCAACTGAGACATCAATCCTCCCACAACGTGTCCTGAAGATGTCTGACCGCCCCTTTGATGAGTTCCAAGAAATCATCCTTAAGAAACATTTTGAAATAAAGAAAATTGAAGTGGATGAAGCCTTCCGTATTGTAAGACAAAAAAAGCGTGCTTTTAATATGACCATACCGAGTTATTGGAAAAAGTTCATGTTGGACTACTGTTTTGATAACCTGAGACGTGAGCGTTCTGATCTTCAAGCTAAGATAGACCACAAATTGGCACTCCTTATTAGAAATAGTGATTGGACTAAGGATGCCAATAACAACTGTGTAGTGAATCTCTCCTCTAAACAACTAGACAATGATACCTTGTGTGCCCTCGGCTATGGTTTAAGTTTTGATGGTTCTAACAAGGGAGTCGACAGTGTTGACATAGCCAGAGCATTTTGCAATTTGGAGAAATTCAGTAATTTGACAAGTGAAGAAGTGAACATGTGTAAAGGTGTTGTGTATGCATCTATGTCCAAGCCTTGCATTCCAAACTGTCCAGAAAGATTCACCAAAGCAATCCAAGCCCTTAAGAAAAATAAGGATCTACATGTCACTAAAGCAGATAAAGCCAACACAGTAGTGATTTTAAACAAAGATGACTATATCTCTAAAATGAATGACCTCTTATGTGATACTACAACATATTCTAAACTCATAAATAATCCTCTCAACACTGTCAACACCCAGTTCAACAAAAAACTGAAGTCCCTATTGAGAGGCAAAGCTACTCTCATTAAATATCTTACTTCAACGTCCCCTCCACTGCCATACATGTACGGTGTAATCAAGACCCACAAGCCCAATAACCCAGCAAGACCCATCATTAGCTCAGTTGGGTCAATCCCTTATAAACTATCTAAATGGTTAGTTTATTTACTAAATCCCCTAGTTGGCAACATTTCTAACTCCAATATCAAGAATAATATGGATCTGGTTGATAAACTCAATAACTTACACATTAATTATGACTTTAAACTGGTGAGCCTTGATGTAACATCACTCTTTACAAAGGTCCCAGTTGATGATTTACTAGAGTTCCTCATAGATTCCCTGGATGATATTTCACTCCCAGTCTCGAAAGACGACTTCATCGAACTCATCAAACTATGTATTAAGGATTGCAAATTCGAATTCAATGGAGAATATTATGCTCAAAAATTTGGTATGGCAATGGGTAATCCACTCTCACCTGTATTAAGCAACCTATATATGGAATTCCTTGAAAAGAAACTATTAAGTAATATTTTACCACCCTCAGCAGTCTGGTTTAGATATGTTGATGATGTATTATGTCTCTGGCCATGTAATGAGGACCTAAAAGCTTTCCTGCCACAACTTAACAACTTAGCCCCCTCGATCAAATTCACTGTGGAATTAGAGCAAGACTGTAAATTGCCATTCCTAGACTGTCTGATACACAGAATAGGTAACACTTTTAAGTTCAGTATCTATAGAAAACCAACTAATATGTGTTCATACATTCATTATTATTCTGCCCACCATAATAAAGTCAAACAGTCAGTATTTTCAACAATGTTTTTACGTGCCTTGAGAATTTGCAGTCCGGAATTCATCGATGAGGAATACAAATATATATATAATATTGGCTCAAACCTTAAATACCCTAGATCTTAATATTACCATTTCACAAAAATTTCTCACACATTCCTTCACAACTAAAAACGTGGAACGTGAATGTGGCATTTAAAAACTCATGCACTGTTAAACAAATGTTAATCAAGAACTCCCCCAACAACATAATTGGTTGCATTTATAAAGTTCCTTGCAAGGAATGTAATATGTTTTACTTAGGCCAGACAGGTAAAGATCTTGCAACTAGAATTAAACAACACCAATACAGTGTTAGGACAGGCCAGGAATCCAATGCTCTGTTTGTTCATTTGAGGGATAACAACCATTGCATTGACTGTGATAATGCCTCCTCAATATTACCATGTAATTCAATTTATAGTAGGAACATCATAGAATCTAGTCTTATTAAACATACCGAAGCATTCAACATGAATTTGAGTAACGGCATGTACAAGCTGGACAATTTTGTAATTAAGAAGATTTGTGACCAGGTGAGAAGGCCGGGTCACCTGACCATCTGACCTGACCACCAACCGTTGTGTGCCATTTAAAGATTAGTAGGGTCATTACCTAATACCTGACCATTGTGGACCTGGTCTCACCCTCCTCTGTATATATGCACCTTGATTTGTATTTCTCTCTCTAGTCTGTACTCACCCCTGAAGATGTGAATTAATAGTGTGGTGTGAACCTGACCGAATCTTCTTGATAAGTTAAGTTAGGTATGGTTAAGATAGGTGAGTTTAGGTTAGGTTGGGCTAAAACTATGAGGCTCACAGTTCGTTTGTCCTGTTTTGGTCTTGTCCAGAAGAGACTGTAACCCACTTTCCCCTTCAGTGATGGAGACGTGCGCTGCCAAATACCGAGCAGCAGTGGGTTGCCTTGTAGCAATACCGTGGGCCATAGGATACATGATAACCCCTGGTATAGCCTATCTGGTGCGTCCTTGGAGGTGGCTCCAGTTTGCCTACGCCTTGCCTTCCCTCTACTGCATCATCTACTTCTGGTGAGTCTACTGCCAGCATCATTTACTTGTATGGAATGGGATGCTGTCCTGCGAAGGGTATTTTCTTAATATACGTCTCCACACACAGTAGAGAAAGGTCAGGGTAATGACGAGTAAAAAAACAAGCAGGTCCTGGGCAGTAGAATTGGTTACTCAGGACAAGGGGTAAAACAGGACCAGGGAAGTGTAAGTTTAAATGTACAGTATACTATACAAACAGTAGGAGCGTTAGAAATAAAATAGACTTGCTGAGAGCGGTTGTATGTAGGATAGAACTACCCTTAACAACCAATTACTAAATGAGCTGTACATCCCTGCTGGACGTACTGTAAATGAGAATGTATTCTTGATATGTTTATATATTTTATAATTTTATATTTTTCAGACTAGAATTACATTGTTTTGTTTTTGTGTGTGAATTGTTATAATATTAAATTCGGTAACACTGTAATAACATTAACAATGAGACGTTGGTTCAAGTACGATGTTTGAGTCAGTCTGCTCAGTCAGCAACCCATAAAAGCCGAGGGTTTTAGAGCCGACTTTGAGTTCGGACATAAGCTCGGGTAACCTCCGGACCTTTCCACTGGCCTGTGTTGTCAGTTGACTCTTGCCTACTAACTGGGTGATGTACTTTTGGTATTCATTGTTGAGGCTGGCTGGCTGAATTAGTGTCTTATATATTTGGTGTTTTATGTATTTTTGTTCTTTAATCGTGTATTGATTTAGTTGTCAGTGATATTGGCAACCTTAAAGTAATCTAGTACGTTCATGGGATTAACTTCATGTCTTTGTTACTAGTGGTAAGCATATGTAAATATAGTTATACTTTTTATTTAAGTTTCTTTACTCCAATCATCAAGTATTCAATCCATACATTATAGCGTAGTTGGAGTTGTTCTCGATACAAATTTCAGAACCATATATTGTAATTCTCTTTAAATACCTTCACTTTTTGTTTGTTACGAGCCCTTACCCCTTTGACACGTAACAGTATTGAAAATGTAGACGTCATAGCAATCACCGAAACTTGGATGAATCTGGCGAGCAAGAACTTTTTATCAGAGTACCATATTGAAGGGTACAACCTTTTTTCACAAGGGCAGGGAAGGAAGGAAGGGGGCAGAGGTCGCACTCTTCGTCAGGGATACATTAAAATGTTGTATTAATAATACAATAAAGGGTGAAATAGGAATTGAGTATGTATGGGTAGAAATTGTAGAAGGAAGAAAAAACTCATTATGGGAGTGATTTACAGGCCCGCAAGTCTAGGGAAAGAAGCAGCTCAGCCCATATGGCAAGAAATGAGAAGGGCAGCAAGAAACAACAACCAGGACAGGAGCTGCCATGCATAGGACACTGCCTTATGACGGGAACATTGAGGACACCTGCTGTCCCCTAGGGACTTGATCTCACTCTCCTCTACTGTATATATTAGCCTTGTCAAGTATTTCTCCTTAGTCTGTACTCACCCCTGAAGATGTGAATTACACGAAAGCACTTGGGAACCTCGTGTTTTCTTGTTTCCTTGTGGTTATCAGCACATACTTCGATCACGCGCATCTACAGTGATTTACTTGCATATATATATATATATATATATATATATATATATATATATATATATATATATATATATATATATATATATATATATATATATATATATTCTAGCAGAATCGGCTCATCCGCTAGGCAATGGTAGGACGCCACCCTCCGGGAGGCTCCACATTGTCTCACTGTTCAGTCCCCAAAACTTCTTCTTCCATCAATAGTTCATTAACGGTGTATGTAAGTTACACCATGTTTTTCACTGCAATGGTACAGCAAAGTATATTTTTTAGCATAAACTGTTATTATTTTATTGTCTAATCATCATTACCTACAGTATTACACCACCCATCAACACCTCATATAACACCATCCATCATCACTACATATAACAACATCCATCATCACTACATCTAACACAATCCATCATCACTACATATAACACCATTCATCATCACTACATATAGCACCACCATCACTACTACCACCATCATCACTACCACCACTACTACCACCATCATCATTGCCACCACCATCATTACCACTAATGTCAACCAGTCTCTACCACCACCACTATCACCACAAACATGCCGCTATCACCTTCACCACCACTATGACTGTCACTACCACCGTCCCCACCACCACTACATATAACACCACCCATCATCACTAAATATAACACCACCCATCATCATTACATATAACAACATCCATCATCACTACAGGTCGGTAAAGTAGTTTCCGAGATTCTCGTGCGAACACACAAACACACAGACATACTCCTTTGTTATATATATATATATATATATATATATATATATATATATATATATATATATATATATATATATATATATGCAAGTAAATCACTGTGGGTGCGCTTGATACAGGTATATGTTGATAACCACAAGGAAAGAAGAAAACACGAAATTCCCAAGCGCTTTCGTTTAATTCACATCTTCAGGGGTGAGTACAGATTAAGGAGAAGTACAAAACAAGGTATATATATATATTCAGAGGAGGGTGAGATCAAGTCCACAATGGTCAGGTATTAGGTAATGACCCTACTAATCTTCAAAAAGCACAGCAGCAGTCGGTAGTCAGGTCAGAGGGTAAGCTGACCCATCCTTCTCACCTGGTTACAAATCTTCTTAACATAAGAAGAACATAAGAAAATAAGGAGTCTGCAATAGGCCGGTTGGCCTGTGCATGGCAGCTCCTGTCGAGAGTTACTACCACTCTCTCTCATCCATGAATCTATCTAGCCTCCTTTTGAAACTTTCCAGAGTTCCCGCACTTACTACAAAGTTGCTAAGCTTGTTCCACTCGTCCCTCCTAACCCTAAACTTATCTAACTTGAATCCGTTGCTCCGAGTCCTATCCTGCTCGGATATTATAAGAACTTTATCTATATCCCCTTTATTGATTCCTTTCACCCACTTAAATACTTCTATCATATCTCCCGCACTCTTCGTCTTTCTAGGGAATGCAAGTTAAGTTTCTTTAACCTATCTTGATATGGAAGGTTTCTAAGTCCCGGAATCATTTTTGTCATTCTTCGCTGCACCGACTCTAGTGAATTTATATCCATTCTATAATAGGGGCACAAGAACTGAACCGCATAATCGAGGTGCGGCCTGACTAGCGCAAGATATAGTTGCAATAAGACCTCTGCACTCTTGTTACTTACACTTCTAGATATAAAACCCAATACTCTGTTTGCCTTATTTCGAACATTAACGCACTGTTTTCTTGGCCGTAGGTCCGGGCTTACAAGTACCCCTAGGTCTCTTTCACAAGTCGACTTCTCTAGGTTGATGTTGTTAAGGCTGTATACATTATAAGTATTTGTTCTTCCAATATTAAGTACGCTGCACTTGCTGGTGTTGAATTTCATTTGCCATTTTTCAGACCACCCCTGCAGTTTATTTAGATCTTCCTGTAATGCATTTGCATCCAGCCCTGAATTAATTTGCCGCCCTATTTTGGTGTCATCCGCAAACTTGCTTATGTCACTGCTTATCTCAGTATCTAGATCGTCTTTCGAGACGGGCAGTGAAATATCATCCAGGGAATCTATGAGGAACTCTAGTAAATCATCAACTGGGACCTGTGTAAAGAGTGATGTTACATCAAAGCTGACCAGTTATTGAGTTTATCAACCAGATCCATATTATTCTTGATATTGGAGTTAGAAATGTTGCCAACTAAGGGATTTAGTAAAGAAACTAACCATTTAGATAGTTTATAAGGGATTGACCCAACTGAGCTAATGATGGGTCTTGCTGGGTTATTGGGCTTGTGGGTCTTGATTACACCGTACATGTATGGCAGTGGAGGGGACGTTGAAGTAAGATGTTTAAT